TATATATATATATATATATATATATATATATATATATATATATATATATTTATTTATTTATTTATTTTTCATTTCTGCAGGTTTGGTCCTTGGTGTTAATATAAATACAAGTGAAATATTTATAATTATAAATAACATATTACTTCACTAGTAAAACTGTAAATAAAACAAAGATTATTGGAGAGCATTTTACAAGAAAATACTATTTCAGGCTTTGTACTTTAATTCGATTTGTTTAAAAACCGGTTCAAAGTAAATCCTACATCATGTTTTCTTATAATTACTTAGGGTTAATATTGATAAGTAATGCACACAAATCGTGTATAATGATACATAGGGCAAGACTTCAAAATGATCATAATGTGTTTTTGGGTAAATCCTACTGTTTATGTGTTATTTTTTAGGGCTTGTAGAGGCCAGTGGGAAGCAAACACCCAATCCACATCATGCAGGTAAAAAAATAAAAATAAAATATGGGATTATTCAGCAAGCGCTTATAATACGATCAACAACACCCAATAATTATACTTTCACAAAGTCACTGATTAAACGAAGAGTGACACATTTAGAACAATGTCAGCTATTGTCAGCTTAATGGACTACATCTATCATATTCAAGAAGTTTCAAGCACTTCCAGACTTTCTTAACCTGAAATACCCAGATTTTGTTTTTTTTTTAAAACGGTTTAGACAAAATACCTTTTTCTTCAGGGCTTTTTCTGTATTTCCTTTGTCTTGTGTCAATCCTGTGGATCTTCACATTGCTGTCATAGCTGACATGACTGTCTTTTCTTATTTAGATGCTGCTGAGGAACCTGGGGAAGAAGGTAAAGTGATAACATCAGACTCACTCAAAACTGGTTTCACTCTAGAAACTGAACCCTGGCGACCTTTGACCCCCTTTAAAAGAAACAACAATAAAATCATCAGCAACTAAATTATACATTTGTATTTTTTCTTTACCGTCTTGCCAACTGGATGATGCAGGAGAAACAAAACCAAAGCATAAGTTAGTGAAACTTTCAAATTTCTGTGAAATAAATTATAAATAAAATAGGTTATATATAAAGTATAATACATAACTATATATTTCCAAATGTAAGACCATTAGTATGAAAAAAAATACTAATGCATTGTTGTTGATTATTAGACCCTTTGTGCCAGCTTTGGTGCCTCCTAAAATTCCTGATGGAGAGAAAGTTGATTTTGATGTGAGTATTTTATTTTATTTTATTTTATTTTATTTTATTTTATTTTATTTTAATTTAATTTAATTTAATTTAATTTAATTTAATTGTGCATCATATTTCATTTAATTATTGTAGTATACACTTCCTTCATTTATTTACATTGCATTAATTTGTTTACCACTGCATTTTTGCGTTGCACTGTTGTCCTTGTCAGCAGCAAATGCTTTACAAATGTTAACTGTCATGCCAATAAATCACTCTGAACTTTCTGTTTCTAAACTAAACAGTGTTATATGACCTGCACTGTCATAAAACATGTGCTATGAGTAGTTTGTACTGTACTGTACATTACCACTATTACATAATTACCTTCAAAACCACATCCTCAGGATATTCACCGCAAACGCATGGAGAAAGACCTGACGGAGCTACAGACGCTCATCGAGGCTCACTTTGAGAGCAGAAAGAAAGAAGAAGAGGAGCTAATCAACCTCACCCAAAGGATCGTAAGACATTTGACAAAAATCTTAAATAATAAATTAAATACATTTCTTCATAATTATTGTCATACATTACAGAACGAATAAATTAACCCTCACTGCTGCAACTATAATAAAACAAGTGAACATCTTGTTGAAATCACCCTGCTGAAAAATGCTATACTGACCAGCTAGGCTTTGTTGGTGAACAGCAGGACTATACTGGTCTACCAGCTAGACTAGCAACAAACCTGGCATAACCAGCATGGAAACTCATGCTTGCTTTACTCTGCTCTTTCCTGCAGGACTGAGACTAATTTTAGAGAGCCAAACTGTTGACTACATGAATACATACTTTCAAATAAAGGCATGACTGTATAGGGAACATAAAAAACTATAGAAAACAGTGCAAAATATACTACAGTCAATGTTTGTGTATTGTGTAAATTGTGAATTATGAATGTGTGGCTAACTACATCAAACTACACGTGAGTTTTCTGGAAATGATTGTGTTCATCTGAGTGCATTTGATGTGACATAAATGATCACTAAATAGATCTGCATGGAAACCGCGATACATGACCATTGAAAATTTTGGGATCAGTACAATTTTTTAAGAAATTAGTACTTTTACTCATCAAGGAGGTATTAAACTGAAAAAAAGTGACAGTAAAGACATTTATAATGTTACAAAAGATTTTTGTTCATCAAAAAAATCCAGTTTCCACTAAAATATGAAGCAGCACAACTGTTTTCATCATTGATAATAATAATAATAATAATAATATTTCTTGAGCAGCAAATATGACTGTTTTTACTGTATTTTTGATCAAATAAATGCAGCCTTGGTGAGCAAAAGAGACTTCTTTCAAAAACAGTAAAAATCTTCTATTCCAACTGATACTGTAAGTGCCTCAAACTAAACTCTGAGTATGTTTCAAAGCTTTCAGATGTGCTAAATATGATTAGTTCATCTTCAAACAGGTTGTCTATGTGTTGTGACCATCAGGAGCACCGCAGGGCAGAACGAGCGGAGCAGCACCGGATCCGGACAGAGCGCGAGAAAGAGCGGCAAAACAAACTAGCCGTAAGTTCAGTGAAGTGGATGTCCTCCTTATTTTACAAGGCAGAAAAATGCTCTTTTCTTTGAATGTGCGAGACTTCTGACTTCAGATTCAGTAGCTGATACAGGTTAATGACTAGATGATTAACAAAGCGCAGTTAAAAATCTATTTGCGTTTATGATTAGGATAATAAATTAATATATAATAATAACAAATAATACTTTGCAATATCAAGCAGCATAACAATCTGTTTTTGCTGTAATAGCTGGAAGCTAATGACACCGGAGGTCTCACACATTCAAATTACAGATAGCCATCAATTTCTTTCAGGAGGAAAAGGCACGAAAAGAGGAGGAAGAGGCTAAGAGGAAGGCCGATGATGATGCTAAGAAGAAGAAGGTTCTCACGAGCTTCCAGTACACGGGATTCATGCAGAGGGTAATGAGCTCAGAGGTCAAAGGTCACGGTGCACAGCCACTACAAATGCTTGTTTTCTGTTGTGTTTTGATTGACAGACAGATAAAAGGGGTGGGCCTAAGAAGCAAACAGAGAGGGAGAAGAAAAAAACGATTCTTAGTGAACGCCGTAAGGAACTGAACGTCGAAAACCTGAGCGCTGATAAACTCAGGTGAAGGAGCTTTACAAACACGACGGCACATACCTCTGCCAGTATGAAATGTGACCCTGGACCACAAAACCAGTCATAAGGGTCAATTTTTCAAAATTGAGATGTATACATCATCTGAAGGCTACATAAATAAGCTTTCCATTGATGTATGGTTTGTTAGGATAGAACAATATTTGGCCGAGATACAACTATTTGAGAATCTGGAATCTGAGCGTGCACAAAAATCAAAATACTGAGAAAATCGCCTTTAAAGTTGTCCAAATTAAGTTCTTAGCAATGCATATTACTAATCAAAAATTAAGTTTAAATATATTTAGAGTAGGAAATTTACAAAATATCTTCATGGAACATGATCTTTATTTAATATCCTAATGATTTTTGGCATAAAAGAAAAATCAATCATTTTGACCCATACAGTGTATTTTTGGCTATTGCTACAAATATACCCCAGTGACTTAAGACTGCTTTTGTGGTCCAGGGTCACAAATAGTCTAGTAGCACCGTGACATGAAGCCACAGGCTGTTGCTTCACATTCATGAACTGGTTAATCATGTTCCTCATGTGCTTTTATGCAGAGAAACCGCGAATGAACTCTGGAAGTCGATGCGCCAACTTGAAGCCGAGAAGTTTGAGCTGCAATACAGATACATGTGCCAGAAATACGAGGTGAGGTTTCACAAAGCCTAAAATGATGTCAGAGGAGTCCTAACATTTGGAGAAGATGAGTTTATGGGATGTACAGTACAGTACAACTATCAATTACACACACATGCAATCACACCCAGCACAGACTTGGCAGAACAATCATCCGGGCCGGTTCCCAAAGATGCCGCTTGATTGACATGAGAAGGAAGCAAAGCTGTGCGGCGATGATTCACCGAGACTGATTCATACGTGTGGTTTTCTGTCTCATAGATCACCGTCCTTAGGAATCGTGTCAGCGACCATCAGAAAAAGTAAGTTGCTGTGAAATGGACCTGATTGATTGATGCATTATCAAAAGCTAGGTTCATGCAACAAACCAAAGTGTCAGAATTGACACTTTCTCCTTTAATTTTGTGAGGTTCACATGACCTATTAAATTTGGCTCACATTTTAGACACTAATCATCATATTTTTGTCAATATTAGAAGAAATGTACACTAGCATTCAAAAGTTGGGGATTTTTTCTGTTTTTGAAAAATGTAATTTGATCAAAAATACAGTAAAAACAATAATATTGTGAAATAACATTACAATTTAAAATAACTGTTTTCTATTGAAATATACTTTAAAATGTCATTTATTTCTGTGATGCAAAGCTGAATTTTCAGCATCATTACTCCAGTCTTCAGTCTCACACGATCCTTAATATTTTTGTGGAACATATTTTTTTCAGGATTCTTTGATGAAAAGAAAGTTCAACAGAACAGCATTTATTTGAAATAGAAATCTTGTGTTACAGTATAAATGCCTTTACTGTCACTTTTGATCAGTTTAATGCATGCTTGCTGAAGTATTCATTTCTTTAAAAAAAATCTTGCATGGAAGTGTACATGTGGATTAATATTGTAAACACAATACCTCATATAGTGCAATTCATAAATTATTGTATGATTCACCCCAGCAGTAAATAGATAGTTAGTCTAGTTAGATTGTCATTAAAATTGCTCTGGAGTCATGTTACACAAAATCTGATATTTATGAAGGCAGCTCAAATTGATTTCAAAGTGATAGTCATTACATGAGGAAGAAAAAAACAACAGATTTGGGCCCCATTCAACTGCGTCAACGCCGCCAAAAACATGTGTAGCCCCTCCAGGTGTTAAATATCAAATATCGAGCAACTGTTGAACAATAAAACATGTTACCTTCAGCTCAGATGTGAATAATGATGAGCAGTAGTCCTGAAATAACACACAGTATTGACCTCAGTGTGTGAAAGGCCTTGGTAAAGACCAAGCTAAGACGCGTAATGCCGCGAGGCTAATCTAACATAGCATCATGTTTCCAGAACTCTCTGTGCGGAATAACAGTTGCTGCTTTGTTCTAGCACAACCTTCATCCAGAACCTAAGGCCACGCAAAAGGAAATAAACAGATAGCTGAAGGATTGTGTACTGTACATTGCAAGTAAACAGAAAAAGAAGCATGGTTGAGTATCAGTAGCACATGGTAATACCCTGGTATTTTGACATACACCATAGTATTGAATGATCATATTTATACACCATATGGTGTTTAAAGGTACTGTAAGATACTTCAAAGAATACTACATAATACTAGTGTCCAAAAACATGGTATTATCATGTTTCGATTTCATATATTTTTATGGAAAATTAAAAATATACACTATTTGTTGTCCATTTAAAATACAAATGAAAAATCTGATATTAAATGATCAATTAAATTATTTAATCAAAATATTAAATTATCAAAATGATCATTTAATACCTGAACTGTAATAAAGCACTGTAAGGTACTTCAAAAAATACCATCATGCTAGTGTCCAAAAACATGGTATTAACATCTTTTTATATGACATATTTTTATGCAAAATATAAAAATATACCCTGTAAAAATGTTTTGTCTGATAACTTAAAAATGTATTCATCTAAAATAACTGGTTTAATTCAAGTAAGAAATATAACCTAATATTACTGAATCAATCTGATGCAATTCAGCTAATGAAAAAAAAAAACAAGTTAATAATCAGGAAACAATTGCAATTGCAAAAACAATTACAAACAATTCCACCGAATTATCATATTCATATAAAATATGGTATTGAAATAATACTTTAAAAAAATACCATGGTATTACTATCCTGCCAGTGTCCAAAAACATGGTGTTACCGTGTTTTTATATTTTTTTATGCAAAATATAAAAAAAATACACCATAACATTTTTTCAGGTAACTTAAAAGTTTATTGATATAAAATCACTTGTTTTATTAAAAAAAAATATATATATAATTTAATATGACGATATTAAGCTAATGCAACAAAAATTATTTAATAATCAGGAAAATAAGGAGCAAACAACGGATCGTATGTATATACCATATATAGTATTTAAAAATACCATTTTGTTAGTGCCCAAAACCATGGTATCACCATGTTTTTATATAACATTTTTGTATGCAAAATATAACAGTATATACTGCAAAAAATGGTCAACATAAACATATATTAATCAAAGTAGACTGGTTTAATATTACAAAATAAATAAAGACACTCATTTAATGCAAAAGAAATTCAAGTTAATACACATTTTTGCTTTTTACCTTGTATATGGGACTTATTTGATTGTAAAATACATCTGGTAGTATACATATGGCATTTTTTATAAGCATGTGAACAGCTGCTCAACACTAAGCTATGTGGAAGTCAGGTGGTTTAATAATAGACTACCATCAGCATAAAATAAACAACAGAGCTGCTATTCCAAACCAGCGCTTGATCCCGTCATTCAGCGGACTTAACAAAACCCTCAAGTCAAACCCAGTGTGTGTCGGATAGGTGATACATCTCTCGCCAAACACTCCTGCCTGACTCATGCCAAATCTGTACAGACTTGCTGAGCTGTTATGGCTAATATAACCTGTACTGAACTGAGCCGTAACACAGCTGGGATGTTCCATCAGCTAGCTCATCTACGAGAATATGTAAGGATTTTTGTAGATCACTATAGTTATGATACTGTAAATTCTGTTTCAAGATGATTTATCCGAGGGATCGCCATTCACAGGCTCTCCAGGGCACACAGAGAAGGAACACCGATCCGGCAGCTGTTCAAGGGTTAAAGGGGAAGTTATAGGGGGGTCAGACAGACCCAGGGCTCCTGGAAGATCCCGTTTTAAGCACTAGAAGAATGGGAGATTTGATCTGGCCTGACATCGCTACGGCAAGAGATTAAGACAACATATGCCTGTACAAAATAAGACTAATCCGAGGCCGGTAAATAAAAGAACATGGATTTTGTTAACACCTAGTGTACTAGGGTATAGTTTATGTCATGCAATATTCTTAAAAATAAAGGATATAAACAGATCTAAAAAGACTGAGGCTAAAGCCATTGAAGTCCAGCAACAAATTATTGTGGGCCATGACCATAAAATAGGTCACAGGTCTGTTCTGATCTAAAAACAAGTATTTAAAAAATGCAAGCATATAATTGTTCACTGATGATTTACGTAATCACAAATGTATTTAAAAAATATATTTTTTCTCTCTCTTAGTACCAAAGGCTCTAGGAGTAAGAGAGGACTACGAAAATAAAGCAGCTTCACAGAGACACCAGCAACCTCAACCACACGGATATTTGCATAAATAATATGCTTTAATACAGTTATATATTCTGATCCTCTTATTTAATGTTTTTTGAAGCGCTACAAAGAATAAAAACAGCCATCTGAATGAAAGATGAAACAGTGAAGTTGGTTTTTAAGAGACTAGTATATAAGTTCACATATGTCATATGAAATTAATGACTTTTCTGTTAATTATATGCATGTCATAATATGCAAAGTGCCACGATGTGTACAGCTGTCATTTATGATTATCATCTTGTTGATTTAATGTTAGTGAATCATAATATGTAAATTGAAAGCAAAGATATAATTGAAATCGAAAAACGTCGCATGCATTTTCAGAGATTTGCATGCATGATTGTAAATGATTACAATATTTTTTAATAAAGTATGTTAGACTAAATGAGTTTTCAGACTAACAGCATATGCTTTAGTATGTCCCAGTGTTTGTCTTTCTTTTTGCATGGATTTGGTAAAGGTTATGAATATTTAAAAGTAAATCGTGACACAGACTAGTGCGGTTGAAAACTTTATTGAAACTTTGCTTGAAGTCGCTGTGAGCTGAAACATACAAATTGATCCAAACCCCTAACGCAACAACCACAACATATGTAATGGTGAACAAATGTCAAAATGAGCCACAGAAACTTCTTAGAATTGATTACTCAATGACTGAATGACATACGTATATATTTATATTGTCTGATATTATATAACTTGATTTATAATACATCATACAGTGTAATATAAAATATCTTAAATTTGCGCAAACAACCTGTAACACTTTCATAAAATCATTTGCATTTTAGAACACATTATAGAGACAAACAAAGACATATAAATCATCTTAACTGAATGAAAACACTATGGTCTTGAGAAATAGAACTAAAAAAAAAATCATGTTTTTGTCATTGCATTTGTTATGCATCGTTACAAAAAGCATCTACCGCCCCAAAAGAAATAAAAGCTCATTCTTACATTTCCTCTGCAATACTTCACCAAAATTTAAATGCAATGCAATTAAAATGCAGTTTGTTTGTAAAGTGCTTCTCTTAGTCGACCACTTGAAGAGATTTGAAAGCTGCCGACGTTATGTCATTCACAAAGGATTTCTTATTCATGCCTTGCTGCAAGATGAACACACAAACACACAGGTTAGCTATTTTACTGTGAATATATAACACAACTCAATATTAAATACAAGTAAACATGACCTCACACCAGTATATACCGATTTACAGTATGATTATATAAAATCTGACTTTACAGCTAGAATGACATGATCTGAGTCTGATCACTGAGTGAAACCAGTGAGGTTAGAATCTTCAGGTCATCTAGACACACAAAGAAAGCCACCCGTCTCCACCGCGACTGCAGGGTCGGTATGGAGAGGTGTGGTTGGTTTTCACCCTTAAGCATTCACACACCTCACGGTTAGTTCTCCGCACCACACCCAAAATCCTCAACCGTCTGACACACACACACACGCACGCACGCACGCGCGCACACACGCACACACACTAATTTTCCACAAGCAGCCTCAGGAATGAGACATATGATTCCATGCACTCATCACCAGCTATTTTGGTGGAAAACCATACATTTTTTCTTATGTATCCACACCTAAAATAAGGTACCAAAAAGGTATTTTCTTGCCACACTGTCGCCTTTGGCTTGCTCAGATGGAGTTTAAAAGAAAATGAATTTTCAGTAATATTTATTTAAATGCACTGATTAACTTTGCAAGAGTTATGAAACTCAACTGAATCAACATTAAATGACTTGAGCTGAATAATTACATTATTATCTTCTTTAGAGCATGAAAAAAAAAGGTTTAATAATTATAAAATTAATTAAATTAAATTCTTAATGAATTAAAATGAATAAAAAATAAATAAATGACACTATTGTCTGCTGCAGAGCTGCTTACAGCTGAATTGAACTCTTTTCAAAAATAACAAAATTTGCAGCATCGAAACTGAGCCAAATAATGACATTATTATCTTCTGTAGAGCTGCTTATAGCTGAAACTGAGTTTTTGTTTCATAATTGATGACTTTTACAACATTTACACTGTTATTTTCCTGTTTATTAATGTGAAGCTGCTTTAAAACAATCTGTATTGTATAAAGCACTATATAAATAGACACTACTACTGTCTTTTTAAAGCTGAAATTACATTAAATAGAATAAAATTTTTATAAAAATAGATAAAAAATATTGCTCATAATTATTATGAACTAAATTATAATTATACATTATTTTGCATTTTTTATTTTGAAGATTTATTTTGCAAAAATCTGAACTGAATTGAACTGGATCAAGACACCAACTTACCAACATTCTGACTGTACAGGATTGAATTAAATCTACATTGAATGACTTGAGCTGAATAATTACATTATTATCTTCTTTAGAGCATGAAAAAAAAAGGTTTAATAATTATAAAATTAATTAAATTAAATTCTTAATGAATTAAAATGAATAAAAAATAAATAAATGACACTATTGTCTGCTGCAGAGCTGCTTACAGCTGAATTGAACTCTTTTCAAAAATAACAAAATTTGCAGCATCGAAACTGAGCCAAATAATGACATTATTATCTTCTGTAGAGCTGCTTATAGCTGAAACTGAGTTTTTGTTTCATAATTGATGACTTTTACAACATTTACACTGTTATTTTCCTGTTTATTAATGTGAAGCTGCTTTAAAACAATCTGTATTGTATAAAGCACTATATAAATAAATCAATAAACTAAAACACTGGTCTGAAGAACCTATAATGAAACATCGAGAACCTTTTACATTTCCAAAAAACCATGTAGCAGCTCAAGAACCTTGGATTCTCTGCTGCAAAGAACCACTGAGGAACTTTATTTTCGATTCCAAGTACTTTTATTTGTATTAGGAAAATCTTTCTAGCAAATATTGGTTATGTTTGCAGTCTTACCCTTTTAAGGTAACTCTGAATATTCTTTTCTGACCACAGACTGTGAAGAAGAACTCCTGCTGCAGTGCTGGACTTCGGCAGACCCCTGATATATTACAAGAAATTACAAACATTTAGCATTGGAAAAAATACATATAAAATAAAATGTTAAAATATATTTTTAATTAAAATAGATAAAAGTATTGCTCGTAATAATGTTATTATAAATTCTTAACATTTCTTATTAATTATTTTTTCTTTTCTTTTTATTCTTTATCTTTCAGTTTTCTTCAGCTGCTTTGGCACAGAAATACAAAAAAAACTATTTCAAAGAAAAATACAAAACAAGGTGAAATACCTTCTATTTTCTTTTGCCTTGTTAATTCAAGTAGTCTGATTCATATATCAAGAATAAGCCTGTTTGTTCACTAAGCTGAATGAACAGAAGGAAGTGCGCACTCACAGATTGAGACTCATGTTGTTGAGGGAGTTGATCAGGCTGTTGTTCAGCAGACTCTTGCCGATCTCAGGGTCGGCCTTCATCAGGGCATGTGCGCTGTGAAGAGCTGTGGCCATGGTGCTGTCGTATTCAGGCGAGGAGTCGCCCTTCGTGAGCCCTGAGTTCAGGAACCCGACCAGCTGCGGGAGAGTCTGACGAGCTTCACGAGCAAAAACATTCATCAGAACAACCACAAAACACACGCTATATCAAAAACACCATGCTAATAACACAACCCTATGGCAAAAACAATACTAAATCAGACAGGACACAATTAAAAAACGAGACAAAAACCGCAACATTAATCATATGCAGTCTGAAGTGATACAAAAACAAGCAGTCAAAACAGAGAACCTCACAGACCTTCAACCATTATGTAACTCCTCAAAACAATAACACTACAAAGTTAAGTTGTCTTATACTTGAGTGATGGCACACATTCGCTTACCCATGGTTTTGTTTGTACGTGTGGATCTGGACAGATTCCCGAGCAGCGCGACTGCGCTATTCTGTAGAGCGGGATTGGTCGATTGCAACAATGGACTGATGTACTTAAGACCGTTGAGCTTCTGGACGATTGTATGACTCAATACATTCGATACCTAAAAACACAAGACATGGAGCACAGTGATTTATCGGGAATTTTCGGGAAAATAAAATAATTAAATTATGTTTAATATACAAAACATTATTTAATCATAATAATTATCATAATGAAATTAAATAAAATATTTGAGTGCAACCCATGAAAATATAGATGCTAAAAAAAAAAAGTAATTAAATTAAAATTAAG